AGAAACTGCCTCTCCATTTAACCCTTATTACCATTGTAACAACTAAGGCAAAGTGCCCATTGACCTGAGTGACATTGACTTGGCTATGCCCACATGATCACATGACCACTGAGCCACGCCTACCCACCTGGTCATTAGGGCAGAGAACTGGTTGGTAAATTATTTGAATCCCACCACTGTCCTCAAGCATGGAAAATGAGGAAAGGAGCAGAAAACCCAGTATTTCAGCCAGTGTTTTGTTCCCCTGCCCTTCCCCATTAGCAATGCCTCCCTCTGATCAGGAAGCAAGGGAGAAAACTGGGAAAAGGTGGGATTTCCAACCAGTGAAAAATCTTGGTTGACCTACAGCTCCAAAAGGAATGCTCTGTCAGAACCATCTTCACAGTAGCGGAGCAGATTAAATAAATAAACATTCCTTAGTTATGGTTATATTCAGGGGTGGGCTTCAAAAATTTCAGCAACGGGTTCTCTGCCCCGTTGCTGGGTGGGCGTGGCCTTGGCAGGCATCACCTAGTCAGCTTCCTGCACCATGGGGTGGGGTTTTGTTTGCATTCCCCAGACTCCAGAGTCTCTGGGAGGGCAAAACATGCTTCTCCTGGGCTCTGGGGGCCTTCCAGGAGGCAGTTTCCCCCCCTTCCTAAGTCTCTGTGCAGATCCTGCACTTACCTTGCATCCAAAATGGGCCGTGTGGAGACTCCTGGGAAGAGCGTGATGGGGTGGGAGGGGTGGGGCAGGGTGGGCAGGGCCAGCTAGGGGTGGGATTTGGAGGTTCTCCAAACCAGCCATAATGTTAGCTATGGGTTCTCCTGAACCTGGCAAAACCATAGCAGCCCACCCCTGGATATATTTACAGAGAGATAGGCCTCCACTTTGGCAAGCATTTGAGGGCCATTACCAACTTTTCTGTTTTGCCAAGTTAAGTAGCTTGGTTTGTAAGAAACCCAGCAGCTCTTGTGTATTGAAGGGTCAATGCTTCATATCTTCAATTGTAGAATAAATAGTACAAGAAGTTGCATGAGAGAGGACTGGGAAACTGTCATGACTTCTTTTCAAAGGTGAAATGAACAAACAAACAAATGCTGCTTCTTTAAAACAAGGTTCTGAATAAAAAAACACTGTCAGCATTCCAAATATCACCCAAATATCACCCAAATTTAAATCAGAGTCCAATGTTCCAATATATTAAGAGAGACTTGTATAGAAAAAAATGGGATATGTTTAATAATGGTTTATCCATTCACGGAATAGTCTAAAGTCACATTTTAGCTGGTTCAGTCAATGTCTCATTTGGTATTTATTGTATTAGACAATCATTTGGTATAGGGTTTCCTGCTGGAGCAGGGGGTTGGACTAGAAGACCTCCAAGATCCCTTCCAACTCTGTTGCTCTGTTCTGTTCTTTTCTGTTCTGTTCAATCAACCGAAGTATTAATCCAGTTAAAATGGTAAGATTACACCCTTGAAAAAATTTTTGGCTAGGGATTATGAGAATTCAAATACCAGGCTGAGAAGGGTTAAAGAAATCTTTTTGATCAGTTCGATTGTTTGAAATAATGCAGTGGTTGATTGGACTTTTGATCTCCCCTCCTGCTCAATGGTCCATATTCATTCACAAATCAGTCAGATTCCCATGAGATTTCAAGTCAGCTAGCCTTAAAGCTAGCGTTAAAATGACCTTTGTGTCAACAATAACAAACGTACCCTGTGAAAGATAAAAAAAACAAATTTATGGATGTGGCAGCCGTCTGAAATAGATGCACATTCTTCAAATTACATCAGTCTTCACAGGAAACGTATGACGGGATCATGGAGATTCTCCTGTCAAAAGTGTTTATTCTTTCCCTCGCCAGAATAAATTTGTCTGAAGAGGGAAAATTGCTTTGATTCCAAATGTTATTAAGCATTCAGCCATTTAAGCTTCTCTTGCTGACTTGGATGCTGATCGAGGTATCCATTTTCTAATGGAACTCTGAAACTAAAATCTCACCATCTGGAGATTTTACAGGTCATAATGTGTTCTGGAAGATTAGCCAAGATATCCAAGCCAACATTCTTATTAATAGGGTCATTATATTATAGCTTCCAAACTTCTTCAGATATTCTCCTTTCTGTACAGTAGCAGTTCTCAATTTCCTTCCACAATTTAATCTTATAAAGTCTCAAACACTTTGGACTCTAACCTTAACAATATTGGAAAGACACAAAAAAGAAATAACTCCAATGTTTTTGATTATTGGGGGAACGCCTGAAATTGTGAAAATATGCCCCGAGTGCACTTACAAAACGGCTGTGTGCTTGTAATAAAACTTCCATATTTCTAGAGGGTTTACTAATACTTGTACTTCTTTCAGAAATCCAAGATGCTACCAAATCTCCAGTTTAGCTTTCTTTTGAATGTGGGTCACCGGTAAAACATTCTTCCAAATAAAGCATTGAAAAGCAGCCAGCTGTAGGACAGCTGTGCAGCTGGGACCAAAGCTTGCAAAAGAGCCATAGTGGTGCAGTGGTTTGAGTGCAGCACTGTAGGCTACTTCAGCTGACTGCTAGCTGCAGTTTGGCAGTTCAAATCTCACCGGCTCAAGGTTGACTCAGCCTTCCATCCTTCCGAGGTGGGTAAAATGAGGACCCAGATTGTTGGGGGCAATATGCTGACTCTGTAAACTGCTTAGAGGGTGGTGTAAATCTAAGTGCTATTGCTATTAAGAAAAAATAAATAAAAAAAGAATAGGGAATAGAATAGGG